TTCTTTCTTTTTTGTCATCTATTTTTTTCTAAATTTGGTCGAGTGGTTTAAGGCGTAGCATTGAAACTGCTATGTAGGCTTTTGTTTACCGAGGACTTTCCATTAAAGATAGAGTGGGTCGACCTTTCAACCAGGACCTATTCACCGGCATATAACTACCTTCGAACGCATACTGAGGAAAGACAGAGACCTGACATCGATCTTTCTCGAACCAGCGTCCACCCTGGCTAGATCGATCGGTTTCGGGTCAAATAGGAAGAACTAGAAGATTCCACCTTTGAAAAGCGCCTACACCTAATGGCTTAAGCCGCTCTTCCCATTTTCTCGCTGACCCATCATGCAAAAGGTACGCCATTAGAGTGAGTGCGCTTGACTATTCCTTCGACTGATTGTTCGCATCGGATCTCAGGTTCTCTATTGCACTCCCTCCTCCCTTGATTATCAAAAAAGGGAGCAAAAAAACAAGCTTTTCCCTCCTTTACAATATGAACCGGATATAGTCGATGGTCAAGATACCTAGACCTATCTATACAGTTATTAAAGCAGTAAGAGGAGAACCTGCTTTTCTCTTTATCTAGTTTGATGCCTTCTTTTCGTCCATCATCCGTTGAAAGACCAAGAGATAGGTATGATTTTTGTTCAAGGCTCAAGTGATTCACCAACGGAGTCCCGCGATCTATCGGCGCGAGCTACTCCATCCCGAGATGCCCTTGCCAAGCCGCCTACCGTGCAACGAGCAACGACCTGGCCTGGGAAAGATGATAGAGAGTTGGCCGAAATGGGCGCAATACTTTGTGGCGAGGATACTTGCCTTCACGATTCGACTTTCTTTTTAGGCTTGACTCATTATTTTCCGGTCCTCTCCTCCCTTTTAGAGCTCTTTAATCTGAGTTTTCAGGTTTTGAAACTGAAACCTGTGAATTATCTTTCAATATATTCTTTTTTTTTCTTTTTTAAATGTATTATTTTTCTTTTAACTCTCTGTTAATATTTTTCTTTAAATTTTTTATATTTTCTTGGCGATCAGTTCTTTTTTTTTTCTTGTAATAAGAGCATCATTAACGCAGAACTATTAGGGGTGTCTTCGAGTTAATTTGATTAAAAAATCATTCAATAAGATGAATTTTTGATGAAACGGATCTGTGCGATGAAATTAATGAATCGTGTCTTCCGTACACGTGGCGTTGTCTTATTGGACCGTCTGCAAAAATCTTCATCACTGTGGGGAAGAAAACGCTCTCTTCCCGTCGTCGTCTSTCTCTYTTCTCCTCCTC